TAAAATCATTAAAAAGGCATCCTGGGGCAGTACACAGTCATTACAATACTGTGCTGACAAGAAATATTAAAATAATCATTTCCAATGTCATTGATAAAATCCATTCTGATAAGCAGGAAAAAAACCCAACCTAATTCTTAATTGGGAAATCTGAAGTAAAATGTATCTTATTAGCATTTGATCTTATTTTTAAAACTTAATTCTCCTGTCTGACAATTCCCAATTCCAAATATCAAAAGCTAAAAAAGAATTTGTTATCCTCCATTGCTGGGCAGGTCATTAGGCTAATCCCATAGAACCTGGAATTTTTCTTTTCTATTTCGGTCTGAAATTCAGGGCCTGCTTGTGCAGCTCCGACTTCAAACAGCATCAGCGATTAGACCCACATGAGACAATGCTGAAGATTAAAAAACACCCGTCTAAAATGTTCAAAATCCTGCTTCACTTTAGAGTACAAACTTTTACATGAAACAGCCGATTGCCACATCACAGGATGCCTGAATACTTACCACACTTAGGAAATTACAAGCTCTATCACACTATCGAAGCAGTTTAATTTGTAAATTATTATTAAGGTATGGGAAAACAAGCAACTCATCATACACACATTTCAAAGGACTAAGAACCACCATCCTGACAACTGCTGTTTACAAATCATGGTTTTCAGCTTCTTAAAACATTAAGGAACAGTTATCTAAAAATACACAGATGTACACTAATTATGCATCAGCGTTCATAAAAGGTTTCTACAGTCAAAAGTGAAATATTACTGTAAAGCAGTGTTTGTGTTACAAAAGTATGATCCTACTCTGTCACAAGCAATAGTGATCTTACAACCGTAACGAAGCATTGTAAACAACGTGTTTGGATTTAACTAAAGCATAAAGCACCATTTCCATAATAACAACCATGCAAGTTAAATTATTCTACCCTTCAACTGGGGAAAACAGGAAATGAGTTCTAAAAGACAAAAGTCATAATAGATGACCACTACCAGAGTTCAGTGGGTGGTTGCAGGGGCAAAAATTAGAAATTTAATTTCTAATGTTTTTCCAATGAAGAAGTGAGTAAAACACCCTTCAATGCCATTTCCATTTTCTTCATCCAAAAGATACATCACATCAAGGCATTTCCACATCACATCAAGGCAGAAAACAGAAACAAGAAACTAGATTTTAGAAAAAGCTTGTAAAACAGCACCATTTATAACAAAACTACTAATTGTTATGTTAAAGTCTGCTGTAACTAGGACTGGTAACAGATGTGGGTTTGGATATTGGCAGTTCACAGACAGATTCAGATTTACCAACACACTGGCAATTCAAACTTCCTGAAAAAGAGAAGAGGGAGAGGAAGAACAGAGTGCATGTGGACCACAAACTATATACGTAAATCACAGCTGATGCAAACCATTGCATAGTGTTTGACTTGATGAAAACAGGAGCTGTTGCAGGCAAAGTGAGAGCACTAAGGCTAACATGACTAAACCAAACCCAATCTCGCTCACTGCATCTGCTACGATATCTACATTTTCAAAAAGAAAAAAAGGGAAAAAAACCACCACCCATTGCAATCAACATTATCCTAAAAATGTAAAAGAAGTGAAGCGTTCATCAAAGTTACAAGCCAGCAAAAGCTGTGGGACCTTGGTCAACATACTGAAATACCCTCAACAGACCTATCAAAGCAAACATTTGGAGCAACTGAACACCAAGCATTACCTACCTGGGAATATAATAAATAGTGATTAAAACCTATACCTAAATCCCAAAAACAGATACCCATCCAGCTGGGAGCAAAGTCTAGAAACAATTTCAATACACAGCAGACTTAATAGGTATAGTAGCTCCATGGCTTGCATACAGCTACTAACTTGTCAACAACTACTCTTCCTTAGCTACAAACAATAAAAAAACCTGTCTTACCCATTCATCTATTAATGGAATGCAATAATTGGTCTTTACCCCTTTCAAGTTTGCTGAAAAACGCAGTTAATTTATGAAGGCTGCTGGCACTGACTCAGGGTTTCCTCAAAATAATATGAAATGCTTAAGAGCATACTATGTGAAGACCTCTACTTAGCCTGTCCCTCCACCCCTCATCCCTTCTTTTCCTTGTTCATTGACAGTATTTACATCAAGAAGTGTTTTTTAAAGTCAGACTAGGCTTTCTAATGTTGGTTAATCAGCTCCATTTATTCTGGAGAGGATCTGAACACAAAGAGAAGTTATTAACCAATGCTGCGTGCTGCTTGCCTTTGAGCAAATAGGGCTCAAAAGTCCCTTGAGGGGGACCAAACAGACAGTCCCTCAAGAGTTGTACAGGAGAATTCACCTGCATTTAAAAAAAAAAAAACAAAAACCAAACCCAAACAAACAAAAACACCCACACAAAAAAACCAAACCAAAACAAACAAACAAACAAACAAAAACCAAACGAAAAACCAAAATTAAACCATAAGTATGGTGTCCAAGACATGCAGCCAGGCAGATCTTTGGCTCCCTTGCTGAAGAGGGGGCCTGATTCTTTCAGCAGAAGATGAGGAAGAGCCACTCCAGTGTAACAGCAGCTTCAGAGAAGATGTGATACTAAGCAGAAGCCAGCAAGGTAACAGACTGGCTACACACAGTCGGACTCACAAAACACTAAAATGTTCTACAGTTGATGTGCCAGCGATGCCAAGTCACAAGCCACTGTGGGAAATTTTAGTAAAATCACATCAGGTGTGGTTGTGTACATTTTATATTCCATGCCTATCACCATACAATAAAGTTGGAACAAAATTGGAGTGTGTGTGTGTAAAACTAGCGTACATTTCATCATACTAGCTTCTATTTCCTATTGAATACAATTTCACCAAAGATGTTCTTTGCCCAAAAAGTAAAAAATGCGAAGTTATTGTCATCAGTCAAAAGCTTTCACAGTGTTAATGGTCATTAAAGCACATGTGAAATAGCCAGCACCTACAGCGCTGGCTGGTGCCAAGTGACAGCCTTCCCCAACATACCACTTATCTCCTGGTGAGTGAGACTGCCGATGTACGTTACAATGATATTTCACATCCTTTTTCTAGAAGAAAGATAATTTAGATGCTTTCTTCAAACTTCTGCACTTCTACCCCTTACCTTTCAGAGGTCTGCATATGGACTATATGGACTCTCTGAAGAAGCCACTAAAAGACATTCTTAAGCTTACATTGAACCTGAACGTCCTAGCGTTGCACAAACCAAGTCATTTAATCAGGTGCTTGCACTCTTCATTCACATCCCCGCATTGAATGGGGTTAAGAAGTTGCTTTGTTTCCTGCCGAAATAAGCAGCAAAAATTATCAGGAAATGGATTTGGTCCCAGTCTGGCAACTATAACACATTTATACAGAAGCATTCCTAATCCTATTAGTTGGCAAATATTAAATAGTTGGTTGACTGCCACGTAGGTAAAACAAAACCTTGATATTTCTCAAACACAAGATGTTTGTCAATTCTTTCTACTTACTACTGAAATTTAGCAGAGACACAAATAAGGTTCCTGGAAGCTTACAAGTTTATCATGCTAGCTTTTTGCCAAGAGACTTCCCTCAAAAGGTCCCTGATGGGAAGAAAAAAAAAAAAGTACACTGTACAAAGATCCACAAACACCATGCCTTGGAATATATAATTAAAAATCTATCTATAGCTAGCACTCAGAAATAAATGTACTAAAAAAAACCCTAATGGTTCTTTGAAACTCATATTCAAAATAGAAAATCTAGGCAGTCAAAACAGTAATTTCTGCAACTAGTTCCAGTGAAAACAGTGAGCAAAGCACAATGATATAGCTTTAAATGCTTTTCTCTGAAATCCTACCAACAGGATGGGTAAACACACCCTTATTTGGAACTAAACCTAGTGCAGTGCACGTCAGTATTTTCCATTTAAAAAATTAGAATGTTTTTCCTTTTTTTTTTTTTTCATTTAAAAATTGGAATGTTTTGCCTTTTTTTTTTTTTTATTTTATTTTAGTTGTCTTCATTCTCATCTCTGATACATACTGATATGACACTGTCTCACATAACCACAGACGGTGCAGCAGCTCTTTGCAACGAAAAGCTGGCCACACACAAACCCCAGAACTAAGGAGCTCTGAGAAGTATTTCAACATAATTCAGAAGATTTTTACATGCAGAACAACTGCTGTGATGAAGGGCCGACATGTTCGGCCACTAGACAGCCATGGTTAGAAGACAGCAAAGCCCCAAGACACCCGGCTGAATTTCCACTAGAGGGTGCACAAAGCCCATCTCATACAGCAAAGACCAAGTTCAGCATCGCTTCTCCAGCCGCATAAGTTCTTCCAAGGGGTAACTGTTCCAAAACAGTTACAGATGGTCAGAATAACTTTTGTTATTCCTTTTTTTGAGACGGTACACAATGATCCCAAATACGTCCTACAAGGCAAACTGGAACATTGCTGCTAACAATGTTTTAAATCACCCTTAAGCAGCCAACTTTACTTCTAAACCCCCACAAGACTGTCAACTTCTAACACTCCATGAATGCCATGAGTTACTTCTCATGATTACCCTATTCTTATGAATTTTTTCAATTTATTCTCACTTTCTCAAATGTGCAAGACAATTTTCAACTACTTTGCACAAATAACCTCTCAACATCTCCGTGAGCACTAAATCAAAACAAAGAAAACTTTGCTAAAATAAAGCAAGCACCGAAGAAAACTGAAAAATAAATGAAGACTAAATAAAGTAGCTTAAGATGCTTAAGACGAAAGGTGCTGGTAGAGAACACACCACCATGCACATGCCATGTTCAGCATAATGAAGCCTCTACTTCGCTTGAGACAGTATAATAAAATAAATCTTGAAAACTGAGCATTTTCTTTCACTAAACATTAACGAACACTTGCAAAACAGGCCAAGTACCTGAGCAATCAGACATCAGTGGTTATTTAAAAAAACAGCTACAATATTGTGTGATATGCTGGATGAAAAAAGTAATCTTTACCGTCTTGGAAGACTCTCTCCACATTGAGTCCGTAAGTAGCACAGGTTTCGTAGTAAGTGCATCTCTTGAGATCATTTGATAACTTCCTCGCTCTGGCATCATCTATGACACGTGGATTACTGGAACTAATAGCATCTACAGCAACAGCAGGGGGGGAAAAAAAAAGGCCTATTTAAATATAATTCGAAAACATCATCTTACAATTATCAGTACCCAAGCAGTGAATTTAAGTACAAACCATGAGACACTTCGAATTCATAGAAAAAACCAGGGGTGCGCATCACTCCAATTATATACTTTGTTGCTAAAATCACCAGCATACTGATTGATTCTAAAAAACAGGAAAAAAACTAAAATGCTTTTTGGTTACCTTAAAAATATACTTAGGTCACTAACTGCAGAATATACACAATCACATGAAAGAACATGAGCTCTGATGTAAAACATACTTGGAAAAACAAATGGCTGATGACTACAAACATGTCAAATGATTTTTAGGACTCCTATAAATACCAGCACTGGCTGAGAAGTAACGTTCATCAGCATAAAACATGACACGTTTGTAAGGACAAGAACATTTTCAGTAGAGAAATAATGGGATGGGGGCAGAAATGGTACCAGGTATTACTGCAACACTTGGGGAAAGTGTTAGATTTGCATATGAGAGATGCTTTTATTAAAAAAAACCCAGGTTAGCCAACACTAAGACAACTTGGCGGGGGGCGGGGAGGGGGTAGATCATGATGGCAGAAAAGAAATGACAAAGCTGTACAGGACTGCAATTATCATGTTGCTAAAAATCTAGAGTCCAGCTCTTCCCTCAGTTCCTCATGTGTGCTTTTTTTGGCCCTTCCCGTTTTTTAGGCTAGTTCTCTCTGCATTTTGCTCAGGCACAGGGAGCCAACAGTGTGGTAGTGAGGCTGGGCTGAAAGCAAAGCACTCTGCTAAACCCCAACCTTGAGCCCGCACGGTGCACACTACGCCTTGGTCGAGGCAGATGCTTGCCAGTTTAACGTGGAATGGAGATTTTTCATATATTCACAGATTGCACTGCTGACCTGGCTTTTAAGTCACAGCCAAGACTGGATCCAGGAAACTCACTGCAAATGACTGAGTCTCAAACCTCGATTTAAAGGCACTCATGAGACATTGTGCGAACATACTGCACAGCCAATAAAAATAATATTTTTCTAAACAAATAATAATACTTTGTACCTCTCTGCAAGAGCTAGTTTTCACGCGCGCTTTTTAACTGCAATTTCTAGAGCTGATCCATAGGACCTGAAAAAAACTTTACACTGGGGGGAAAAAAAAAAAAATCCTGCTAACCCATGAAGGAGAAGTTTCTTCATCGCTACTCTTGTAGCAAAGAACTCTACAAAGATTATATTGTTTGACTATTTATAAAGCGATAATACCATGAACAAATCTTAAAAAGCAACTTCTTTTTTTTTTTTTTTCCGAGGAATATCATAGTAACTGATTAGCTGTGGCAAAAAAATTTGGAAGGGAAGACAGCAGTACAACCTATGCTACAAAACTCTGCAGCTACCACCTAGCCACCACAACAAGCACCAATTTCAGAAAGCTTTCCTAAAAATCCACTACTTTCTGTGGTACCAAAACTATCTTTGTTCTTAGGGAAAAAAAAAAGCGTCATTTTAACATGAGCATGAAGTCAGTGACTATTGCAGTGCTGTATTCGAGGCTCAGTTCTGGGTGCAACACAACCACATCTCAGCTGATGTGACTGCTACCTTCTCATGAGATCTGATTAATAAAAACAGCAGTTATTTGGAAAGCTAACGGCAGGTTTTTTTTAATCAGCAGAGGGCGCTGAAAACATGTAACCAGAAAGGAATTGATAAGCAACACCACAGCTTCCAGAAGTTTGATTTCTGAAGCAAATTCAGTGCTACAGCCTGGCCTGCTGCAGAACGAGGCAGAGGAGAATGTCCGAAAGCATCAGGCAAGTCCTAACATTTTGGGAGAGACTTCATTTCACAGCTCATTTCAAGAATACTAGTCAGAGCCAACAAGCTGGATGTCACACAGGTATATTTCAAATATATTTTTAACGGATATATGTTTCATATATTTCATTTCACTTCACAGTTTGACAGTCAATATAGTTAAAAAGCTGTATTTTTTTCTGATGCGTACTCCTAGAATTGGCAGTATTTCCATGTTTAGGCACATTTTAAAAAAAAAAAACAACAAAACAAACCCTTTGCATCAGTGCTGCAACAGAAAATGAACTTTGAAAAATAAAATTCCTTTCTGGTAACAACTAGAATGAGATAGGAAACCATACCCCAAAGTGTCAGAAGTGCAGAAAGGGAAGCACCTTCAGGGAAACGTTTCCCCCCCTCTCCTTTTTCAACTCCAATTTTAAGTTGACAGCATGGCCCTTCAAAGCAGTTCATTTCTCCTTTTTGGCTGTAGTTTCTGCTACCCTAGGACTTTTTGTATACCTACTTCCCTTTTCATTTTTTATCATCTGTTTCCGCCTAAAGCCTGGTTGCGATTCCTCCTTCCATGCTGCCCACACTTCCCCTGCCTTCACGTGGCAGTGCTGGTGGCACAGCTCTGCAGGCAGGCAGGGGAAAGCAAATCGCTCTCTGACCACAAGGCTGGCAAAAGAATAAGCTGAAAAAGGAATGAGAAGCTACAACACCACCACAAACAGTGGCATCCACTAAAAGGGAACATGCTCAAAATCAAACCTACAAGAGCAACTCGCGACCCTCGTGTTCTCCCTCTAACACAGCGCAGTAACCTGACAATATATTGAGAGCAATGCTTCAGTATGAAGGAACTCACAAAAATGTCTGTACTGGGCTTCCAAAACAGCAGCTCTGTAAAGTAAGATGTCTGAAGTCCAGCACCTACATGGGAATTCCTCATTTTGGTAAGAATTATCACAGGAGGGACATCTACATGGCCAGGTACACAGCAGCCTCAACTCTTGTGTGTCTACTTCATGCAGCAAACCAACCGCAGTATGGGAAAGCGCTGAAACATTAATGTGATGCACTGGCAAAACGAGGAAGGAAATATCCAAAAACCAGCTCAGATGCAAAAGAAACTGAAATATTGCTGGTACCTTTCCCTTGCCACATTTCCCCATAGGATAGCTGTGGCTAGCTGTTGCTCCAGAAGTGGTGTCGGAAAAACAGAATTGTGGGGGTTTGTTTCAGGAGGCTAAACGCTCCATTTCCATTTGGTTTGAAGAATGGTATACCTGAGAGACTGCACAAGGGGCACAGTTCAGTTCTGTTTCTTAACACAGTGTTGAAGGTTTTCGATCCCTGACCCATCTGCCTCCTAGGAATGCCAAGGTATTCATCAATTCTAGACTGCCAAGCTAAAGGAAACTGGTCTCACTTCAGAACCTTGTTACACAACTGGTTCACTTGCCCAGATTGAACATTAGCATCTCTCTGCTGATCAAGAAAACCACCATGACTGGCAAGTATTGAAAATATTTTTTTAAATATTCTTCTAAAGTCATCACTGCTGAAGTGCTACACTCCATTTCCCAAGGGTGCTGCACAGACATTTGTCTCCCGTCTCAAACCAGTCCTTGCAAGGCCACGGCCCTGTAGCAAGCCAGCCAAGGAAGCCCAGATGGCAGAGCACCGCCCTGCTGATTAACTGGCAGTTTATCCATAAGCTCTCATCATCAGATGAGTGGCAGTGCTGATAAAAGAGAGAGGAAAAGACAGGACATGGCTTTGCCAGCTTGGAACAGTCTATACGGTCACAGAAATCCACTCATAAATCAAGGCTGCACTTACCCTGGGTTCCCACTAGTACCATTGGAATTTCACTAGTGTTACGATAGTTAGCCATACGGCTGTAGTAGTGGTAGACCGTCTGGAAGCTAATTTCATCTTCCAAGCTGAAGACAAATATAACAGCATCCACCCACATGGCAAACTGCAGAATAAAAATGGAAAAGGCATCCTATGAGAAAAGCAGTGAAGAGGAAAACAGGAGAAGAAAAAAAAAACAAACAAACAAACAAACAAAAAACCGAAACATTCTTGCCTTACTTGGAGGGAAATACACATCAGAGAAACTTTGTTAGTGACAATAACCAAGGCCTTAAAAGTGGCATATCATTTCTAAAATGAGGAACCAACATTCATCACTCCGCAAGTGATGGGGATCTTGTATACACAAAGGTTTTTCCCCACACTCGCAACTGCATCTCTTCTTCGCTGGTATATGATATACAAGCTCAAATACTATCAGTGTACATTGGTTTTGAATCACAGAAAAAGAAAACATTGCAGCCTCAGATTTCTGAATTTTAAATTACTAACACTGATCTCTAAGCATCTGAGTGCCCCATTTAGCGTGTTAATTCCCCACCCTGTGCTTTACATGCATGTATGCTAACGTTTCCGTTAATGCCAGGGCAAGTATTACGGTTGTGGTTTTACAAGCATTGCTAGTAATTCTCACATCTTGATCAATAACCAAAAGCATTAATTTAAAATTTCCAATTCTTCGCTATTCAGACACTCTAACTGAGCAAACAGTACCCAATGTCTTGTTCAGCCTTCAGTGTGAAAGCGAATTATTCTCTCTTGGCATCACTCATCTGCTACAAGACATGTGCATACACAGGCCAAGGCAAGGTGCTGCTTAAGTGACCATGCAAGTGAAAAAGTTTTAACTCACGAGTGAAGTAAGGTTGTTGAAACACATTTAACGCAACAATAAGCATATAAAACATCAAAAAAAGACAAGTTAAGCTTACCTCACTGCCTTTATTTTTCCCTAAGTGACTCCATTCCTACCCAAATTTAGACCAATGGAAACAAGTTTCAGCCATCAGCATTCATGCTTTTCATTATATTACTACTACAGTATGCCAGGTAGATTGGGGACACACCGAACATACAGAGCTGCAAGAAGGTTCATTTGGGAAACGTTTATATACATTTTGCTGAGTTTTATGAGACTGGCCTAGGTTTGTAAGCTCTTATTTCAGCGCCACCAACTCTTACAGTTTTGTTTCTGCTCTTGAAGCATTTAAACTGCTTCAATCAGTAGTTTGTAGATTCACACAATCTTAGCTTTTAGTACGGCATCCCAAGCTGGCATATGCAAAGGGAAGAAAAAAGAGCCGGCAGTATGAAGTTACATACTGAAGTTGCTGAGCTCATTAAATTTTCCTTTTTCAGAAGCAGAAGCTAGTAGTACTTCTTGCCTATTTTTCATACAGCATATTCACTAATAATTTAAGTTCATGTGCAGATTTATGACTGTATTGTACTTGAAACCAAACATGCCTCTTATGGTTACAGCGTAAAAATAGCCAAAAATATTTTGAGGTTTTCAAGACAGTCAGGAGGACAATCATCTAGATGTTAAGGGTAGGACTATCTACACACAGCATAGTTACTGCCAGAATAAGGTCAACTACCACACTATTAAATCTGAACTACTCAAACCAGAAGATCTAACCAAAGGAACCAGAGACAGCATCATTACTGTGGACTTGGTTTTGGGTCTTATTATAAAATGGTTCTCGCTGACTGGACTCAGCAGCATTGTGCCAAGAATTCCTCCTTACAGCTACAACATCCTTAAAACATCAGTTTGGAAGCTAACAGTCTCTCTAAATTTTCTTATGTTTCATCAGTGTGTAGCAGCAGCCTTCTAATGAAGATTATTAAAAAAAATCTAGAGGGTGGTTATATTCAATGCAGTTCCTCCAGACCAAAATATTTCCAGTAACTCCTTATTTCTCTTTTTATACTAAAATAAGTTTAAGCTTTGTGGATATCAGACCTCTGATATTAAAAACCAAAGGAATTTTGGAAAACATGCACAAGGCTTGGAAACCCAGGATGTCTTATCCATGCCACTGTGCAGAGAATGGCTTGAAATAAGGATAGCTCAGCTGCTGATATACTAACCCATCTTCAGACTTACTGCTGTGACTGAGCCGATTTGTTTGTTCAAGATAAGTCCAAACAAAATCAAACTGTAAACCAAAGTTCTAAATTTGAAAAAAAAATAGCACGACAGCTCATTATAGCTCAGTTATGTTAATTGGGTTTTACAATAGGAGGCCACTACATTTGTAACATTACAGCAGGAGTAAAATCAAACCTGGTGAGCAAAAGAAATGGTCAATATTCACAAACTTAGTGGCAAGACTGAAGCAGCATCAGCTAGTGCATCTCACCACCTCCTTGTTCTACAAAACGAGCTATTTTTTAATTATTTTCATCTTCAGACAAGCTTATGTTAGATAAACGAGACCACAGATCCAGAAAGTGAGTCTTCAGGTGAGTTCATTTTCCCTCCCTTCCTGCCAAAAAAAGGGGACGGTGAACTGAGACCCGAGCTGCAGCCTTCTGTGCACTGAAGCAAAGAAGCCGTCACCTGGAACTCTCCTGACCCTGTGCCCCTGAGTGCCAGAAAGACCACAGTTCAGCTCATTACTTATTGAAGTCGTAATTCTATCCCAACTATCCACAAAAATATACTGTGCTGTAGCAAAAAGCAGAACCTTAACCCTTTCTAGATCATAAGCTAACAGGGGGAGGTAAGCATTTTTCTTCTGATAGTATTCCATTTTCATTATAGTTATAAATATTCATGAATCCAGGAGTAAACTTTTTATTCCAGGAATTAATAAACAGATTAAAGATCTTGAATATAGATGCAACTTGAAATTATACCCAAAAAATCCAAAGATAATTTACATGTGAAACACGTCTTCCGAGAAATAAAATAAGCACTAACACCTTAAACCTTTGGATACTTGTTATTTGCTGAAGAACAAATCTCAGCGACAACAGTAATTAAAACCCCCAAATTTACCTAGCATAGATCAAAAGCAAAACACTGTGTCTGTTCATTAGTTTGCAGCTAGTTCAAATGAACTCTGCAAAGCCAATTCTTCAGATACAAAAATATTTAGATTGCTATGTGTACCTTTACAACTCCAGTATTTATGTTTTTCTACCAGTGAATGTTCTCTAAGCATTGGGGCCTGGAAACTGTTGTGTACTTCAGCCAAATTATTCACAGCCTGAAACAGAGCACTTCTTTTAGGCTCATGCCTCACACGGATGCAGATGTATCAGTGACACTAATTTTTTGTTTTCATTTTAACTTCCTTCCAGGATGTCTCTCTTGGTCTCCATTTCCTCCACCTCCTTTCTCTTCTCCTTTGTCCAGGCACCTTCCCCCATGCTCTAATCCTCCTGCAGCTAACAAGCAATAGTGGAGCATTGAAACACAAGCTGCTGCTGCTGGCACCGCTCCCGTTCAGCTGTTTGGCGACAGCACAGTTCCTGCTGCTAGATTTATTTTTTTTTTTTTGAAGCTGATCCACCACGGAACAGCCGAGCAAAGCAAGGCCAGCGGAGGCCAACACACTTGAGGAACCCTGCAAGTGCCCAGGTAAGAAGAGGTAGAGGGGAGACAAGGAGGATGCCTGAAGGCAAGGGCGCTGCCTGCACACAGGCTGGCAGAGTCTGCGGCGATTTAAGCATCACATAAGCAAACGCTTCACTTCTCATCACTCAAAATAGAGTAACAGAGTTAAGTACACAAACCCACAAGTGTCTTCTCAAAGGCAAATCCCTATGAGTCGCCTTCTACGAGACAAGGAGGTAACATGCCACATACAGAAACCAAGTCAGAAATCCGAGAACTCAGTGGTGCTGAACTGGAACTCGCAAAGTTGAGTCTTAAACAGCACAGGGAGCAAAATGTGGAAGCAACAGGGAACACAAAGATTTGTACACAAGTACGTGCGTCACTATGCATGGATCTACTTTGTATTTTAACAATTTAGAGATTCTGACTCAGAAGAAATCTTAGTAACATGCAATTTTATGGTCACTGGAAGCATATTGACTAGGCATTCAATATAAGCTAGCCATATATCTTTATTACACAGTTTCACAATGTAATTGAAATCCCAAATAATTTCTAAACAGAATATTTTTTACCTGAGGGTGACATATACTTTTTCCCAGCAGAAAGATGAGCAGGACCCAGGAAAGAACAAAACAAAGCCAGTTCTCTTAAGGGAAGGGTTTTTTTGAAAGAAGGGAAACCGTGCTGTTAGGCTGATAAAGCTCTATATATGCAATGCTCACCTGTGCCTCTGGAGGGCCCCCTTCATCTCTAATCAGCAGCAGATAGCTTTGTCCATCAACTACTATCTCTTTCTTGAATCTCCCACCTGTCACACAAAGTAACTCATTACAGAACAGAAAAGGCAAAACATACAAAATAGAAAAAGGCTTCGCTTGTGGAAAAAAGGTGTCCTTAATATCTTTTGCAAATTAATGAACTACTGTGAATATAAATTAAGGTCATATGCATATGCATAGAAATTACTTAAGAAAGTTAAGTCACATACTTTAAAAATAAGGCTACTGTGGAAAAAATTGCATTGTTGCACTTGTTGGCTACTAACACTAACTCCCATGTTAGGCGTATTTGGTTTTGATACATATAGTTAAAAGACAGTCACCTTTGTTCTACGTAATGGTGAGAAATACGTGTCTAACAAAGGCAAATGTGGGACAGTTGCATACAAACAACATCATGTATTAGAATTAAAATAAATTTCTTGTGCGAATTAGCATTTCCTCAAGAGAAGCCCAGTTCTTACAGCACACATGTAATGTTATGAAAATGATACTTCTATACTCACAAACCACAGTTAGGGGAAAATACTAGACACATGTTAGACAAAAAAAAACTACAATGGTGGTACCTCTGTAGAGATGCACTAAACTAACAGAGAATGTTGTGCCACTTACTAGCAGGATGAATTAAAGACCTATTTTGCAGATCTAGATAAAAAGAGCAGAGTCGCAGCCTTCAGCCAAATTCTATTCCTGATCCTATTATTTCAGGAAGATGTAGAATACTGAGCGCTTGTGAAGCCCAAAGAGCTGGCATCGAACCTAAGAAACAGCACCGGGGTGTGCAGCTGCGCGGTTACCTTCTCTCTCCACTGGCCTCTTGGGGACTTCAAGCATGACCCAAGGGCAGAATTGGGATTGCTTTCCTTTGGGGTTAAGCATATTTCAGGCATCCTGCTGTGTCTCATGACGGACTTCAGATAATGAAAAATCTCATTTAGGGTTTCTGGTGTGACTGAGCCTAAGCCAGGATTAGCAAACTTGGCCTGCCTAAGTAGTTGGGCTGCATTTAGGCTCCTCTCCTGGAAGCAAAAGCACTCTTATCTCTCCACCTAAGCCATAAAGGCCTCAAGGCCTCCACGCTTAGCATCGTCCAACCGCCTCACATCTGAACTTACCAGACTAAGATAAAACATTTCTATGGACACATGCTAAACTTCTTTCTTCACTCCCTTTTTTTTGACTGGAATTATTTCCAATTTGAACCCTATTTCCCAACTACGCTTACTTCAAAACTGGTCATACTATCAAAACTAATGCATTTAAACATGTGATAGGTGAGTGAACAACTCTGACTTGTTCTCCAAACAAGTTCTCTAAGCAAGTAAATCAGCACCTACAGGCTAACACTGATCCTCAAAACATTTGCACAAAAATTGCTAGCCTTGGGGAAAGAAACTGGCTTAGACCCACCATTCCCCCAGCCCAACCATTACAGCAGGTTTCAAATCAATCATTCAACAGTTCAACTACGTGCAATATTTAAGCATGTTTAAACACATTTCATGTTTAATAAAAGACATAAGAGGAGGATTGTTTGTGGTTTTGTTGCTGTTTTTGTGTTGGGTTTTTTTTGTTTGGGTGGGTTTTCTTATAAACCTACCCTATTATGAACAGCTTAGCAGTACCAAACATGCAACAATTAACACTGATATTTCTGGTTGTTTAATTGCACAGGAGTAGAAGAACTATGTACAGATTTTCATTATCTTGCTCACAAACTGGATTTCAATTTTGCCTTCGAAGATCAAGTGACAAATAAGTATGTATCATTAACGAACTTTAAAAGAATAATCAAAACCAAGCATAAAACTTTGAAAGAAAACTAGTCTCAGCTCTCAGAAACTGAATTTCTAACCCGATCGTTATTTCTATACGTTGTCAATTAATTGTATACACTTCATAATGAAGTGTTAAATAAGATGAATCACTTAATATACAGTCCTCCAGAGAGGCTCTTTAAAGCTGTAAGTAACAACAGAAATGTAGTCTATATGTGATCGAACAAAGTTCTGCATAATTGCGATTTCCTGTTTACTTTTTTTTTTAAACACAAAGTTCACACAACTAATTATAAAATACCATGAACCGAACACATTTAAGAGCCAACTCATTATTCCCTCTTTCACGTCTCACTGTATCTTCAAACAGTCCTCAAAGGTATAAAGAAGGTACAGACAAGGTGAAATAAAAAGCTTAAGTAGAGAATTGAAAAAAAAAAATCCATGGATGTAGTATTAAAATGTACATACACAGACCACAAATGTGAGCGCTGCAAGATTTATTATTGAGAGCCACTTCAGGGTTACTGAACATTTTGCCTGTGGGAGCAGGTTTGAGATGTGTACCATATTTAACAAATACAGTATAGAGTCATCCAACAGTTCTCTTCCTATACGAATCCACATTAAGTGACCAGCTTGTATACCTGTTCCTTGCCCTCCCCAAAAACACTGCGCTTGGAGCTCAGTAGAATGATACTGTATTTTTATTTCCAGAATTAAATTCAGATCTTGACATGCTGTACCATTTCTGTCTGTCACACTGGAAGAGCAGTGCAGCAGTCAACAAGCATACAGTCAATTTAAATCTATTCAAGTGGCTTCTTTACCCTCGAAAGCTGAGTATGCTCGTTAGCTGGAATATGCACTAGTTCCTTGCACACCCTCATGCATTCACTTATTTTTGTCTGGGTTTAGGTATTTCACGATAAATAGTTTAAATCTAATAACCCCCAGAACCAAAATGTTTAAAAGAATGCCCTGCATTTCCAACCTGTAATAAGCATTTCAAATCAAATCTGAAGATCCAGGAACATAACAGCAGACTCACGCTCATTCCCCAAATAAGAATTATTTTATGCAAATTTGAGATCAAAGCAGGATGCAGCCCTATTAAACTTATGTTTCTACACCATTGAAGAGCCCTTCTCATGAACACATCATAACATTAGGTACTACTCAGGACAGAGATTGAGAAAACCTACCTCAATATCAAGAATTTACACAAGCAAAAGTATAAACACTGAAGAATACACAGACTTCTGCCAGTGTATGAAACCAAGGCTATGTGGTTGTCCCACAGATATCTGTGGTCATAAGATTAAGGCAAAAAACACACTGATTCTGCCTTTGACTTGTTGAGCCCTGATGTGACCCTTCTCCAACTCAGGCAAGTAAAAGCAGCGTAAGGACAGTGATTTTGGGATGGTTTGGCTTGGACAGCACTGCTCTAGTTATTTTTTTAAAATACATCTTTGGAGTTTGTAAAGCATCACAGGGCCACCAGGAAAGAGGAATTAAAGAAATCAGCCAGTTTGAATATTGAACTGCCGCAACCTGTCAAAGAAGCCAAGAAGTCTCCCATGGCTACGAAATACCACTGTATTTTTCTAAGTATGTACAGATATATGATGAAGCCACAAAATACCATCTAAACTGACAACACTGAAAACAAAGAAACGACCTTCTTAATTTAAAGAATGAGCTCAAAAACCCACAGCACTAGTCCCAAGGCAGGCAGCTACCTTTGTTCTAATCCCATGAGTATTATGACACACGCAGCTTTTTAATGAGGGAATTTCTCAACTCCCATATGTACCTGCCAAAGGAAGTCATCCAAAGAGAAAGACTGGCAGCCTAGACCACAGCTCTGAAGGACAGAGTGATGGCTCCTGCTATGTCCTCTAACACGCACATCAAAGCACAAAGATGCTAGAGTGCAAGACATGAAATCAACGGCTGAACTACATTTACTTGCAGCCCCAAACCCATCTCTAAGCCATATAAAAGATATGCCAGTGAATACCTAAATAACTCTCAACAGCCAGACAGATGGAGCTAGAAACTGATTTCATGAAATATGGAGCTAGAAACTGTTTTCATGAAATATCACAGCAATTTTATAAAAACAAATCACTGAAACTGTGTGGAAGCTTAAATTTGGGAGGATATTAGTGTGGGGTTTATTTATTTTCTCTAAAGCTCTGTATTTATAAATCGCTGCATTATTCTGAGTTTTCCAGGGCAAGATCATTATCAATTCACACTCATTTTCAGACATGTACAAAATTTCGCATAAGAAGGCAAATATTACTGCTGAGTACGAACCACACACAATACCCACCAAAAGATACAGAGCCGTGCTTCTGTTGCAACCCATAAAACGACCCACTCTCTTCTGTGCATTAGGCCAGATTCCTGCTATAAAATGCTCCAGATAAAAATACAGCTTTGATCAATATAAAGCTAAATAAATTCTGTGTGTCAGCGCTTTACAATCACGGCTGAAGACCCAGCGCAAGTCAGAATACCAGGCTGAGGGAATCAACAAAAGCTTCCTAATCTCATTTCTATGCACATCATTCTACAAAGGTTCGTGCTTTGAATCAGCAGTAGTATGAAACTGAAACTGTCCTTCAGTAAAAACTGATATTAATTTTAAATACCACACACATTTGTAATCAAAGATGCTCTATACTGCAAAAGCCTTATATTACATAGGGAATTCCACAGATGAAGGTTTTCACCCAGCTATGAAAGCCTGGCCGCCTCTTCCTCTAGCTGTTTCACTGCGCAATTGCTCACCGAAGCAACCGCTGATTTTCATACTGTATCCCCAGGCTCAACTGCATTTGCCAGGCTCTTTAATTCAAGCAAATTGCCACGGGGATGAAGTTATTTGGCCATATGAGAAAGATAAATTCGGGGGACTGGCCACATGACAAACCCATGCAGCAGCTGAATGTCTACCACAACCATGGGGGCAGGGCAGGCAGGAGCGGGCAGGAAAGGAGAGACGGAAGATAAGACTGAAGCAGACATAAAAGCCTCTATTTTGTATTTCCAATCACATGTGAATTTTGACAACAGTGGTCACTTGTCTTACACAAGCAGATTCTCTCTCCTTTTTTTCTAAAGATGGAAAAGACGGTGCCAAGAACCTGGCTCCTCTTCAGAGAAATGCATTAAGAAGTCATTTATTCCCTCCATTCATACATACATCATTTCAGGACCAAATATATGAAAAT